TAGAACATAGTAGATGCTCAATAAACATTTGGAAGGGCGGGCAAAACCAAAGTTATTCAACATTATATCTTTTCTCTCTAGCTTCCCTTCTTCCTAACTCAAGTTTCAGCTAGAAACAACTCATAATTAGTTAACCAGTTGCTGTTGATTCTGATTCTGACTCATGGTGACCCCATGTGTCTCAAAGTAGAGAGCTGTGCTACACAGGATTTTTAATGGTTGATTCTTTGGAAGTAGGTCACCAGGCCTTCTTCTGAGGTGTCACTAAACCACCCCCACCAAAAACAAAAAACCACTCTACTGCCTAGTCTATTCCAACTCACAGCAAACCTATAGGACAGAGTTGAATTGCCCCATAGGGTTTCCCAGGCTGTATATCTTAAAGGAAGCAGATTGCTCATCTTTCTCCCATGAGTAACTGATGGGTTTGAACCAGTGGCTTTTTGGTTTGCAGCCAAATGCTTAACCACTGCTCTAGCAGAGGTCCTGAGGTCTCACCAGGTGGACTCAAATCTCCAACCTTTTGGTTAGCAGCCAAACATATTAACTGTTTGTATCAATTAGGGATCCCACAAACTACTCATAGTCACCTGAATAGGATATGCTCATGTTTTCCATACCTTTGCTTATATCAGTCTCTGCCTTTAACACCTTGCCTTTACCTCAACCCACCATCAGTATTTGGTTAAGTGCCAGGCCTCCCTTCAGCCAAGCTGGGGCTTCCTCTGTGTGCTCTAGGTACACTGTGTACATATCTCATTCCAACCAGACTGAACTTTAAGGAAGAGGGAAGATAGAGAAGGAGATAGCAGATGAGTGATAAACAAGGTTTTACAAGCTGGAAAGCAGACACGTTCCTTACTGTAAGCAGGACTAGTGCACAAGGCTGAATACCTACAAGCAGCAAGGCAATTTACATCACAGAATCTCCAAAAGGCTGAGGAAATAGAAGCCTTAGGAAGTTTTGAAGGTAGGCATGCAAAGAAGAGCTGAGGATCAAAGATTCACAAAGGCAACAGTTAAACCCCAAGAGCCTGTCTTTGACCATCAACAGGTGGACAATGGTAACATATCTGATAGAATACAGGAGGATTATCCATTGGTCTTTGGTACCTCAGGTACATCTCAGGGCATAGATGAGGAACCAAATTGAAAACCAGGCATAAATGAAAGCCTGCATCATAAAGAGAAAGAAATATTAAGATCATCTACCTCATCTATGAACTCTTGGAAGATAGGCACTTTTTGTTGATAAATATGTAACATAGGCCAAAAGTCCCTAGATGATGTAAATGTTTAATGCATTCAGTTGCTAATGGAAAAGTTAAATCCAGTTCAAGTCTACCCAGAAGTGCCTCAGAAGAAAGGCCTGGCAATCTATTTCTGAAAAATCAGCCATTGAAAATCCTACAGAACACAGTTCCACTCTAACACACATGGGTCACCATACATCAGGATCAACTTGATGGTACCTAGCTAACATAGGCCAAACACTTTGGTAGTGCTCTAACCTTCTCTCTCATAGGCTAATCCCCTCAGTGTTATATCCTAGACCACCAGCACAATAACCACTCTGCCCCACAAATAATCTAACCCTGTGTTCAGTGGGTACAGGCTATTACCAAGGCAAGGAGCTTAGTTCCCTTGGAGGTCTTGGGGCAGTTATAAATGGAAGATGGATGGTGCTGGCTGGAAGTTATGAAGGATTAGACCTTGCTATGGCTAGAACTGGAGTCCATCTGCTGCCAGCTGCAGTAACTTCATTTGCAAAAGAATCCCAGCCCAGAAATGGCCCGTAATGCTTTATGTTCATGCTTAGTAGAGAAGTACCTAAGACTCCAAGCATCTCTAGTTTCAGACAGAACTCCCAAGGCAAGAGTTTTCTTTTCTTTTCCATCCTCACCTTGTTTAAGGCTCCAAAGTTAGAAAGGAACCCAGGCAAGGCTCTCTGAGGACCCAGGACTTGGCTCCATCTGGACCTTGGGAGTTAGTGTGGCGGTGAGGGTTACTTGAGGCTAGGCACAGATTTAACAATGATCATTCCTGCTTGTTTCAAAAGTACAAAAACAGGGTGGAGGTAGGAGAAGAGAATGTGTCTTAAATTCTATTTTAGTTGGGGGCCATAGTAAAGAAGTTGTGAGTATACCCTAACAAGTTACCTAGCTTGCTCCCCAACTTGTAACTGATTCACTCTTATCTAATATCTAATCTCAGGAGAGTACCCTGGGAGCAGGAACAAGGCTGTGTCCAACCTTCATTCGACATTCTTCCTCCCATTGCCTGGGGACACCTGTGGGAGGAGGGGCAGTCTCTCTACATAGTGGTTTGAACTAAGAGGAAAAAGTGCTAATAGGTGTGAGTTCATGTCTGCTGCAAGAGAAAAAGCAAGGAAAGAAAAAAAGAGAAGACAGTTTGGCTTACCGGTTTCTGGATAAAGGCCACAAGATAACACTTGCTGAGCACAGACAGATCCAGATCCCCTAAAAGCACTGGGCAGGTTTTTCTAACTGCTTTTCCTTCCATCTAGTTCCAACACCAACCCCTTGAGTACTAGAGAAGCCAGGAGCTTAAGAGTTCCCCAGGAAGAACTTTGGAGAAAAAATTCTAAAGTAAAAGTCAACAGCTATAGTGAGAGAGACTTATGTGGCACAGGGAAGAAAGAAACATATCAATATCAGAGCTGGGCCATGAAGGAATTAAGACAAAGGACTAGAGTAGGCTGAGTGCCTTGTCTTCCAGGGACCATGAGGACTGAGACAAAGGAGGAAAAAAATCCACGCAGGAGATTGTCAAAACTCCATTGCTCAGGATTGCAATGACAAAGGAGGATGTGGAAACAGATAAACAGACCCATCACCTGGAGTCTGACAATTATATAGGTCCATAGTTCCTGCTAAATGCATGCATTGACCAAAGTCTGTGCATCTGGGCACTGTGCTATGGGCTCTGGAAAACCATCCTCTCAGTAAACCCCTCCAGAGATCAATCAGGCAGGTTCAATGTGGAATCTACTCAGAGAAAACATAGATGATAGGGATCAGTCCCTAGGTTAGTATAAAACTAATCCCCTGGGCCCAAAGCAAGACCACAGGTGACATTTCCAGGGAGTCCCAAGGCTCACTGGTGCTTAAAAATAGCAGAGACATACCCTGAGCCACAAGCCAGAGTAGCCAAAAATCAGAGTTGGTAGACCCAGGTTAACAGTATGGGTGCTGGGCTGAGTTCTGCTCAAAGGACTTGCCAGAGGCAGGACCTGGCCCATGGAGATTTCCCCATTTCTTCAAAGTACACAAAATCTGCTATCCTTGCTCTGCTAAGGGGACTTTGCAAGGCCCTCAAAAAGAAGTTTCCTCGAACCTCAGTTGTGTTAGGACATTTGTTTAGCACTTAACTACTGCCAGACCATTTTACTGACTAAATACACTTATCTCTAAGATATATTTGATCAGATATGACCAGTCCCTAGAGCAGCTGTCCCTAATTTCCTCATATTAGGAAGCCCTCTGGGAATAAAAGATACAAAGCTTCTTGCCTAAAAGGCACATATGCCCTTCAAAAAGTTATTTCAGATGTATATCAATTCAGGCTAAAGATCCTTGCCTATTAGAACCCTAGTCCTTAGATCTTGTGCCTTTATAGGGTGTCAGGGCAAAGCCCTATAAGTATAAGATGGCTGCTGCAGATGGGCCTGTGACTTCAACCTCTAGCACCCTCTGTTGGCCATGAGAAGGGATGCTAGGTTAAAAAAAAAAAACAACTCCATTGCTTCCAGGTAGGCTTTGTTGTTGTTGTTGTTGTTATGTGCCGTCGAGTCGGCCCGACTCATAGCGACCCCTCCTTGGGTTTCCGAGGCAGTATCACTACGGAAGTAGGATTGCCCAACCTTCCTTCCGAGGAGTGGCTGGTGGGTTTGAACCGCCAGCCTTCTGGTTAGCAGGCAAGTGTCTTAGCCACTATGCTACCAGAGCTCATTTATTCCAGTTTGACCCACTGCTGAAAATTTGCCTTCCTATTCTAGATATGGAGCTCTGATAGCGTAGTGCCTAAGGCATTTGACTGCTAACCAGAAGGCTGGCAATTCAAACCCACCACCCACTCCTCTGAAAGAAGGTTGGGCAATCTACTTCTGTAGTGATAGTGCCTCAGAAACCCAAGGAGGGGTCACTATGAGTCAGGTTCGACTCGACAGCAGTGAGTTTGGTTTTGGTATTCCAGATATAAGGAGCTCTGGTGGCACAGTGCCTAAGGCAGTTGACTTCTAACCAGATGGCTGGCAGTTCAAACTCACCAGCTGCTCTGTGGAAAGACGATAGGGCAATCTACTTCTATGAAGATTTACTGCCTTGGAAACCCAATGGGTGGCACTATGAGTCTGAATTGACTCGATGGCAATGGGTTTGGTTTTGGTATCCCAGATATACTGAATCAGAATCTACAGTTTAACAAGATGCCCAGGTGATTCTTATTAAAATGTAGATTCTGATTCAGTTTATCTGAGATAGAAAAGCAAATTCTCAGCAGGAGGTGGAACCTAACTGGTTCAAAGCCCTGCTTCCAGGCTGTAACTCTAAGACAGACTTTCTGTTCCAGAAGCTAGGTGCAGATTTGCCTTCATCAGCTTTCCAGGGAATCTCTAGAAGGCTTGCCCTTCCTTGAGGTAGGCTGGGGATAACATAGAAACCACATGAAGTCCACGAATGACAACCCAGGTCCTGAGCCAATGTTTGTCAGAATGGTCTGGTCACACAAGCATAGAAGGGTCCATCCCTCACTAACTACCTGCCTGGCTGGAATGACCAGAGGCAGAGGCCATCCTGCCCTTTAGCTTAGAAAGACAAGAAAGGAAGCTGGAAAGATTAGAGAATGTCCACTGCCTGGGCCATATACACACAGAGTTCCACATTGCTTGTCACATCAACTATATTTGTGGGATGGGGGAACAGTGGGTTGACAGACAAAATTGGCGAGCCAGACCAGGGTACTGCAAGATCCAGGACCCCCTAGAACTCCTCACTCTCATCCTCGCCGTCCACAGACTCTGTGCCTACTTCTTCATAATCCTTCTCCAGGGCAGCCAGGTCCTCTCGAGCCTCTGAGAACTCCCCTTCTTCCATGCCCTCGCCCACATACCAGTGCACAAAAGCCCGCTTGGCATACATCAGGTCAAACTTGTGGTCGAGGCGGGCCCAGGCCTCAGCGATGGCTGTGGTATTGCTGAGCATGCAGACCGCCCGCTGCACCTTGGCCAGGTCTCCCCCAGGTACCACTGTGGGGGGCTGGTAGTTGATACCAACCTAAGGAGAAACAGGGTAGGATTAGTGACTAGTTCTATGTTCCTGGAAAAGATTTGATAAGGATCCTCCTAACTGGGGACAGGACAGTCACCTGAGTCATGGCCTATGCTAACCTGTACAAATATGGGCAGAGAGAAACAAGTAAACCACAAGGAAACAGACAAATCCAGAATGCCAGACCTTCTGCAAGAGAATGGGACTAGTCCCTTCAAATGTTGTTGTTGTTACGTGCCATCGAGTCAGACCCAACCCATAGCGACTCCTCCTTGGGTTTCCGAGGCAGTATCATTATGGAAGTAGATTGCCCCATCCTCCTTCCAAGGAGTGGCTGGTGGGTTTGAACCGCCAACCTTCTGGTTAGCAGGCAAGTGTCTTAGGCACTATGCTACCAGAGTCCCTTCAAATAGTCATCATCAAATTTGTTGTATATGTTAGCTGTTCAAATTTTGTAATTTGTCATTTTTCTTATTCTAAATATAGACTTTTGTACCTTAAAAAAAATCATTAGCAAGAAAAAGGGGACTGAATTAGATTATAAGACTTTAGAGACTTCAAAGATAAATAAATATAATGCCTGGTCCTTTATGAGATCCTGACTTTAAAAACATTTGGGGCAACTAATGAAGTCTGAATAATGCTCAGGTATTTTTATTTTGGGGAAGTATAAGTTTTTTAAGCATTAAAAGTAGATTTGTGTGTTACAGAAGAGATGCCTTGGTGATGCAAGTTGACATATAAATGTCAGAAATATGAATGGCATAAGTGAGTTTAAATGAATCAGCAAAACAAAAAGGAAATATAGTAGGGTTGGGCTGTTGAATTGAAGTAGTGGGGATATGGGTGCACTAGTCTTCCTACTTTCCTGTGGTTCAGAAAATTAATAGTTTACGAAATATCAAATTCTTTGTTAAGATTGCCAACTGGATCTAAGTTTCACCTACTCTAAACATTGGTCTAGGAGCTCTGGTAGTGTAGTGTCTAAAGCACTTGACTGCTAACCAGAAGGCTGACGGTTTAAACCCACCAGCCACTCCTCAGATGGAAGGCTGGGCAATCTACTTCCGTATTGATACCGCCTCAGAAACCCAAGGAGGGGTCGCTATGAGTCAGGTCCGACTCGAGGGCACATAAAAACAACAACAAACATTGGTCTATCCAGTATATAGAAATACTTTTCATAATCAGTTTGCATGTGTGTATATTTCCTTAAAATCATCCAGCTTCCTCTTAATGCTATTAGGGATAGCAAGCTTACTTTACCTCTCTCTTAAAAACACCCTATTCTTCTACTGAATAGCTAAAGCTCTTCCTAATATGGAGATGGAAACGAGGTCGGCCTCCTGCCCTTCATTTCTAGTTCCAAGCTATAGGACAACTGAATACCAGCAAGCAGTTATTATCTTTCTGACCATGGAGGAGTCCCTCCTTCCCCTCCCTTTGTGGCCACTCATCATGTGGTTTAACAAGGCAGGAGAGCTATATATGCTTTCTAAATGGCATGGCTGCCACCTTTCATCTTTCTGGAATCTAGCCCTGGAACAAAACCAATAAAACTTAAACTAGATCATATGCCCAGCACCCTCTGGGAAAGTGAGCTGATAAAAGGGTGTGGCATAGCTGAGTCCTTCCGCATTATTGCAAAAGGAAGACTGCATTCACACATAGCATGAGATGTCTTCTGACCTAAATGCTTCCCCTGTTATCTGATTGGGAGGCCCTTCTGTGCTTCCAAAAACACTCCCTTAGAGGAAGAATCATATGTGGCTGTGGATCAGATTCTTCTCACCCCACCCACAACCTGACAGGCGAGTCCAGGAATGCCTATTTGTCAGGCTAAGTGACATGACACTGATGTTTTTATTTTCATAAAGGCAAGTTTTCCAGTAGAACAACCCTGGCTTAGAGTCCAAAGGTTTGGGTTCTAGTCTAGATGGGCTGAGTTCTATCATGTGAAAAACCTCTAAAGGATTTTAGAAAGCCTACTAAAACCTCTTGAAGTTTTATAAGCATCTAAGAATTGACGTATTCAAGCAGCAGTGCTGATGAAGAATACTGAATACATCACAGACTTAGAAGTCTTAGAAGAAACGCAACCAGAATGCTCCTTAGAAGAGAGGATGGCGAGACTTCCAACACACGTCATCAGGAAAGGTAATTGTTAGAAAAGGACATCATGTTTGGTCAAGTAGAGGGTCAGCAAAAATGAGGGAAACTCTCAAAGAGATGAACTGACACAACAGTCACAATAAAGGACTCAAACATACCAACATGAAATGTTACATGACTGGGTAGTGTTCTGTTCTGTTCTACATAAGGTCACCATGAGTCATAGCCTACTTGATTACAACTAATAAAACTGTTCTCTCCCCAACACTCCTCCCACCTCTAGCCCATTTGATCTTCAAGCCTTCAGCTTTACAGGAATCTCCCTTCTCAGCGGGTACACAAGTAACATACTAATCCTTTCCCTTCCCATAACTTGCCTTGAAACCTGTAGGACACCAGTCCACAAACTGGATGGTGCGCTTGGTCTTGATAGTGGCAATGGCGGCATTCACATCCTTGGGCACCACTTCTCCACGGTAGAGCATGCAGCAGGCCATATATTTGCCATGGCGTGGGTCACACTTGACCATCTGATTGGAGGGTTCAAAGCAGGCATTGGTGATTTCTGCCACTGAGAGCTGCTCATGGTAGGCCTTCTCAGCTGAGACGATGGGTGAGTAGGTCACCAGGGGAAAGTGGATGCGTGGGTAGGGCACCAGATTGGTCTGGAACTCCGTGAGGTCCACATTAAGGGCACCGTCAAAGCGCAGGGAGGCAGTGATGGAAGACACAATCTGGCCAATGAGCCGGTTGAGGTTAGTGTAGGTAGGGCGCTCAATGTCCAGATTGCGGCGACAGATATCATAGATGGCCTCATTGTCTACCATAAAGGCACAGTCTGAGTGCTCCAGGGTGGTGTGGGTGGTCAAGATGGAGTTATAGGGTTCCACAACTGCTGTGGACACTTGAGGGGCCGGGTAGATGGCAAATTCCAACTTGGACTTCTTGCCATAGTCAACAGAAAGCCGCTCCATCAGCAGGGAGGTGAAGCCTGAGCCTGTGCCACCTCCAAAGCTATGGAATATCAGGAAACCCTGAAGCCCGGTGCACTGGTCTGTCTAGGGTGGGAGATGACAAACACTGTTATGGATGCAGATGGCTAATATGATCTAATTCTAATAGTATTATATCTGCATAACTTTTAAAAAATTAAGTATAACTTATACTTAAATGCATATGTCTTATTGTATGCACAATTTGATGATTTTTGACAATTACCACCAAACCAATCAAGATATAGAAATCTCTGTCACTCCAGAAAGTTTTCTCATGCTCCTTTGCCTTTACTTCTATAGAGGTGAGAAAAGAATACCTACAAGTTCTTGGGAGATACATGACCTAGAAAGGCAATGTAGTGTGTATGAATGAAGGTGAGATGGTACACAGCATTTGTAGTCAGACAGCTGGGCCTTCTCAGCTTTGTTGCTTTGCCATAGTTAAACATACAGATTCCCAGTCCCAAATCAAAGTGGATCCTAGGAACCCATAGGTTTAACTAGTTCTATGTAGTTCTGTCTTGGACTAGAAAAGTATCAGTATATAAGGGTCACATACACAACAACAATATAAAATGTTTCCTTTTAAGAAAGATCTAACTCTTTGTTGTTGTTGTTGTTATGTGCCGTCGAGTCATACCTGACTCATAGCGACCCCTCCTTGGGTTTCCGAGGCAGTATCACTACAGAAGTAGGATTGCCCAACCTTCCTTCCGAGGAGTGGCTGGTGGGTTTGAACCGCCAGCCGTCTGGTTAGCAGGCAAGTGTCTTAGCCACTATGCTACCAGAGCTCCTAGATCTAACTCTAGGGGGTGCTTTATTTTCATTCTTGAGGTAGAGAACACAGAATCCCGTTCCTCAAGTCACTCTTGGGTCCTTAGAGTCTCTACTGAGCAGCAGAGAGTACGTCTAGGCAATCCCACTAGAGGAACCAACTAACCCATTGCCGTAGAATCAATTCCAACTTATAGCGACCCCCACTGGGTTTCCAAGGCCGTAGTTCTTCTTTTTGTTTTTTTAAATTGTGATTTGGGTGAAAATTTACAAAGCAAATTCACTTTCCATACAGCAGTTCACATATACTTTGTCTCATGACATTGACTACAATTTACCACAATGCAAAAGCTCCCCTCCCACTTCCTCCTGATAGTTACCCCTTTCCTATGTCCATCCCTTCACGCACTCCTGCCCCCTGAGCTATCTCCCTGTGCATAAACAGCCCTTCTTTCTCCCATGATTGTTCTCTCTACTTGAGTTAAATGTTCAACTCATATGCCTATCTTTTTTTTGGCTGGAAGCCACAAGTTTGGGTTCAATTCCAGGCCTGAAGGGCTGCTAGGGGCCACAGTCTCAGTTCCATCACACTCTATCAGACTAGCAAACCTAGTCCCCCCTGCCCCCCACCCAAATGATTTTGAGTTTTGTTCCACATTGTTCTCTCTCTCTATCTAGGATCTCCTACATAGATCCCCCTCTGGTTGACAGTGGTAGTCAAGGCTGTAATTATTTATGAAAATAGATTGCCTTATCTTCCTCCTGTGGAACAGCTGATGGATTTGAACCGCCAACCTTGTGGTTAGCAGACAAATGCCTTGCCAACTATGCCACCAGAGCTCCTTTACTTGAGGAACAGTGCCAAAGTAGTGGTTCCTAAGCACTGGCTTCTAGTTGTCCATACTCCTGGTTCTCAGTGCCTCAAGCAAGGGATGGGGTAAACTGGAGAAATGGTTAAAAGCTTCACAGAAGTCTCTTGCAGCTGGAAAGTTCTGACTAGCAATCTAAGAACAGCAAGTTGAGCTGCCAAGGCATCTTCCTCCTACCTGTTGGGCTAGAGATGGATCAAAGTTCAAAGGTGGCCTTAATCAGCCAATCAGGCCTGGCAAAATAGGGAACAAGGAGAGCAGAAGCCTCAGAGTCCACAAACTAAGGACTGGAGCAGGTTACTCTGTTTCTAACTCTAGATCCACACCCAGGACACATAGCTCCCCCTAGAGGAAGTTGACAGCTGGGCCAAAAGAAGGGCTATTGACACCAAGGGCACCACCAGCCTCAGGTCTGTGCCTTCCCTCTCTAAGTGTACATGTTCAGCCTTCCAGGCCAGGGAGGGAGGTTAAGGGCGCAATGGCCTCCTGCAGGTGCCAAAGGCACCTGGTCCTGCTCACCAGTTTTCGGATTCGCTCCAACACCAGATCGATGATCTCCTTCCCCACAGTGTAGTGGCCACGGGCATAGTTGTTAGCAGCATCTTCCTTGCCAGTTATCAGCTGCTCAGGGTGGAAGAGCTGCCTATAAATGCCAGTTCTTACCCCATCTTGAGGGGAAGAAAGAAGGCAAAGGTAAGAGAGGCTGGTCTCCCTCCCCAGATGACACAAGGTACCTTTGCTGCCAAGCTCCCTTACATGGACCTGCACAATAGAGTGGTGGGGATGCGGCATTCAGAGGCCCAAGTATGAAGCCTGGTCCTGCCTGGGTCTGGGAGGGACAAAGTCAGGGATGCCTTTAATGGTCTCTTCCCACTGACCTTAGCCTCTTCACTCTGCTTGGTGGAGGAATCAGAAGAGTGTTCAAGGGAGTCTCATTGACTTTCTATTGGGGTAATAAGTAGACTAATGCAGAAAACCATTCTACAGTTTAACAACTAGAACAGTGTCTTTAGAAAGAGAGGGGAGGGGGTAGAAGTTTCAGAAGTATGAAACTGAGGAGATTCAGATACAGATGGAAGAAGAAGAAAAGCCCCTGGGAGCCAGCAACAGCCAAGTTCACATAGGCCCACATTCTATCAAGGGGCCTATTTCAGTTAAGGCTGAGCAAGAGCCATTATGATCATTCCCAATTTCTTAGGCAATCTTATCCTTAGGGCCTGGGGTTGGAAAGAGGAAGTCTAAAGTTTCTGCTTTTATATCCACTTCCCTTCTGCAGGCTTCCTTCTAGGTCTGACTCCTGACTCCAACATCTGGCAGTTTCCCTGCAGAGCAGTTTGAAGGCCCCAGGACCCCTCCTGAAGAGAGTCTAGACAAAAGCAGTAGATTTTGGCAGGGGATTGCCTGCATTCCAAGTGTGTTTCCTCTAAGCAGAGTTCCCCATTGACTTTGGGGTTAGTAGAAAACAGGAGGTAGGGGAGGAGAACCCCTAACTTCTCCCACTTACCTATGACAGCAGGCTCCAGGTCCACAAAGACAGCCCGGGGCACATGCTTCCCAGCCCCTGTTTCACTGAAGAAGGTGTTGAAGGAGTCATCACCACTCCCCAAGGTCTTGCTGCTGGACATGGTGCCATTGGGCTGGATGTTGTGCTCCAGGCAGTAGAGCTCCCAGCAGGCATTGCCCATCTGCACCCCGGCCTGGCCCACATGGATGGAGATACACTCACGCTGGGGGGTGGGGGGAGGGGGAGCAGAGCAGAATGATATGCTGAGGGTCTTATGGAGGGAGCCAGGAACTTTAAAAGCTTTCTCTGGAACATCCATTACTTTTCCCTCCTGGAGACTGAAGCCTGATACTTTGTTACCTAGTCTGAACCTCAAAAACAAAAACTGGGTTGTCTTTCTAGGCCTTCCTATACTTTAAGCCAAACCATCTCCAGGTGGCTATGTCTAGGTTTTCTAAGGCAGAACTAAAGAAAACCTGAAGTCAAATAGCCAAATCTCACCACAAAGTGCCCCCTCTGCTGGCTGGGGTGGCTTGGGAAAGCTCAAAACAGAAAACTGTGTTGCCTTCGAGTTGATTCCACTCATGGTGACCCATGTGTGGCAGTTGAGAACTGTGCTCTATAGGTTTTCAGTGGATGATTTTTCAGAAGTAGATCTACAGGCCTTTCTTAAGAAGCACCTCTGTCAACCTTTCAATTAATTTGCACCACACCTGGGGACTCCTTTGGAAAAGTCACAGGCTTGTGTTCCAAAACAGGCCCAGCAGGAGCTGCTAGGCCCAAGCTCTGAGGCCTAGAAGTCTCCATGGCAGAGCTGTCTCCTCCACATCCTGAAGGGGCAGCAGACTGTTAAGTGCAGGTCCAGGACTAACTGAAGTAAAGACTGGAGGTAAAGCCAGCCTGAAAGCTTACCCATAGCCACCCCTCTCTAGATATTTGTGCTGCCCACTGCTGTAGACAGGTTGATTGAAACAAGTACCTGTCACAGCAGAGGCCAGAAGACCTCCCATCTTTCCATTCTCCTCACTCAGGTAATTCTTACAAGGAATAGACTATGGGCCCTTCTGGTTCTTCACCAGCAGTTCAGAAGATCAGTTGTAAAGAGTTGTGCACCTCCTAGTTGCAGGGAATGTCTTTTAGGACTATTAGCAAGTTTCATGTCTTAGGAACTATCCTCCCAGACAGTCTCAACTTCTTTAAATGTACTCAGAGAAGAGGTGGAGATCAAGAGATTCCTGTGGGGTCTAAGAACATCCTGAAAGTTCACAAGTTCTTAGGAATCTCATGTCCTTGGGCACTCAAAGAGGAAAGAATTGAAGCAAAGGGCATTTTCCCCTAGGCACCAGGAGCTCAATGAAACTCCTGGTCAAGTATGGAGCCAAAGGCCATGGACCTCTGACCCGTGGCCTAAGGCCGGGCCGCCCAAGAACCTGCATTTAGAGAAATGGGCTATGAACTGGAGAAACCAGTTTGTATTTCCTAATTCTCCCAGGTCTGGTCTTTTGCGCGGGAGTGTGACCTCAGAAGGAGGCGGGGACTGCTGGAGAGGCGGCTGCCTCTTTGTCCCGGACCGCAGCAGCAGAAACCTGGGGAGGCTCCAGGTTTCCTGCAGGCTCCTGAGCGCGCTCCATAGCTGGGCCAACCCTGCGCCCGGAGCTAGCGCTCCGCGCTGTTACGACCCCGCCTCATTCTCACCACGCCAGCCCCACGCCTCGCAGCTAAACCTCTTGCCTGTCTCCAGCTCCATGAGGCGCTCATAACTTTTCTATTTACCTCTCCACCTCTAGTAGAGAAGAGGTGGAAAAAAGCAGTGCGTGGACTTCCCGCGCGTCCCCAGCCATCAGCAGATCCCACCCCCAGGCGCTCTGCGTTCCCCTACCAAAGCGAAGCCTGTACTCATGGACTCCTCAGGCGTGCCCGGCACCTCACCTGCGCTGTACCCCCTCACCATGGACTCCTTGAGTACCCCAGCTCCCCCTCACCATGTTTTTTCCGATTGGCAAAGTTTGTGGAGAGTCGGTGACTACAGACGCGCTACGAGTCTCCAGCAACACCACGAATCCCGGCTCCGGGTCCCTAGAGGAAGCTTATATATCCCCGCCGAGCCGCCGGCCATGTCTCCCCCAGGGCTCCAATTGGGCTACTGACGGACAAGGGCCGCCCCTTCCGCGCCTCTGACTGGGCCAGGCCCCTACCCAAGCCCGCCCCTCTTCCCTGTATTGGACCACCGCTTATGAAATGTCCCTGCTGTAGGCGGGCATTAGGCAGTTTGTAAAGCCAAAGGGAGGGAAAGCCTCAGAGATCCGAGTCCTCTGGGTCAGCCCGACCATGTTATCCGACTGCTGAAGTTGTGCTGGGTCTGAAAACTGATGCTTTGAGGAAATATCTTCATTCCATTTTTAGCATAAGTCTCTACACAGGTGAAACCGCGGACCGGTTGAAGTGTGCCTCACTTGGAGGCTGTTGCAGACAAGCTCAGCAATCACTGAGAGAAGAAAAGATGCTGTATTAGAAACCAGGTGTTAGGGGCTTCAAAAACATGCAGCTGGGGTGGAGAGGGGCAGACCGGTGTGACCAAGAGCACTGCAGGTGCAGGTAATTGAAATTACCTCCCCTTTGACTCAGGCAATAGAGCCCTGGTGGGGCAGAGATTCGGCTGTTGAGAGGTCAGTGATTCTAACCCACCGCTGTTCTGCTGGATAAAGATGAGGCAGTCTGCATCCGTAAAGATTTACAGCCTTGGAAACTCTATGGGGCAGTTCTACTCTGTCCTGTAGGGTTGCTATGAGTCGGAATCCACTTCACCACAATGGGTTTGGTTTTGGGGCTTTTTTATTTAGGCGACTGCTCCAGTTCAGGTGACTCAGGAAGAGCAAGAGGTCCAGGCTGGCCAAGGCAGTTTGAATGTGGCTTGTGAGGTGAAGATGGAAATGTAGGGTAGGGTCTTGAATGCTAGACTAAAGAGTTTGCACATAATTTCACTGGCTATGGGCACTATTGAGGGTTTTTGAGCAGAGGAGGGATGCAATGAGAGCAGCACTTGGGGCAGTACATAGATGTTGTTGTTAGCTGCCTTCCAGTGGCTGACTCATGAAGACCCGTGCACATCAGGACTGGATCTTTCTGACCCCAGGGTTTTAATTGGCTGATTTTTCAGAAGTAGCTCACTTGGCTTTTCTTCCTAGTCAGTCTTAGTCTGAAAGTTCCACTGGAACCTATTTCGCATCCCAGCAACACACAAGCGTCCACTGACAGATGGGTGGTGGCTGCCTCTACCTAAGAGTAATAAATCAGCCCCTTTCCTAGTTTAGGAGGGTTAATTAGCATTTGGTTTTATCAAATGATTGGACACTCCACCCCCACAATGATTACACTGAATATTTGTGCAGCACATTCCAGAACGACACAAATCATCCATCATCTCCCATTAATTCTCACTTCCTAGTCACTGCACCCCGTTTATGCAGGTTTGGCTTGGAGACTTGAACTCTTGCCCCAGGAAAATTTGTAACTGGAATGACTTTTCTGCTGAAAAAGCCCAGAAAATCTCAAAGTTACTGTGTCACTGGCCAGTGTGACATCACACAAGCTGTCTCCTGGATTTCTGAACCCATTTTCTCACAAAGCTCTAGCCATAGCATTCTAAACTATCCTGAGATATTTTGAAACTAAATACTGCTTGAATGACTTGGGGAGGTCCAGGGTCAAAGTTAAGTTCGAACTCTGAAAAGTGTTCTTTGGTCCCAACCCTTGGAATTAGGTCTTAGATGCTGTAGCTCATAAGGGGGATGAGGTAAGAAGGTATGGGTGAACACTGCTTTGGAAACCCATGCATATACAAAGGTAAGGCATCATTATCCATAACTTGTCACTCAGCAAAACAACTCAAATATTGCATCCTCATGAATGTGGGCATATTGATGGTGAAAATAAAGCTATCGTTATGGCTCTGACTCAGTGACTTTATGTATAACAGAATGAAAGATCGTCTAGTCCCACATCATCTTCATCATGATTGTTGGGGCAAAATGAAACTACCTGGTCATAAACTCAAAAAGACATAAAATGCAGCACTATCATCTCTTCCTTGCCTCTCATTCATTCTACATGCCAGTTAAAAATGTCCTTCTATGCCTCTACTGGGGACCTCTGGTGGCGTAGTGCCTAAGGCATTTGACTGCTAACCAGAAGGCTGGTGGTTCAAACCCACCAGCCACTCCTCAGAAGGAAGGTTGGGCAATCTACTTCCATAGTGATACCACTTTGGAAACCCAAGGAGGGGTCGCTATGAGTTGGGTCCAACTCGACAGCAGAGTGTTTGGTTTGGTTTATCCCTCTACTGAATAGAGTCTGCTTTGACCCAAAACCAAATCCATTGCCATCAAGTTGATTTCAACTCATAGTGACCCTGCAGGACAAAGTAGAATTGTCTCATAGGATTTCCAAGGCTGTAAATCTTTATGGAAGCCAACTGCCACATCTTTTTCCTGCAGAGCAGCTGATGAGTTTGAACCACTGACCTTTTGGTTAGCAGCCAAGTGCTTTAACCACTGTGCTAGCAGGTCTCCTTACTCTGACCAGGAATTATAAATATATTTGAAACAGTGATAGCTTCAATGTTATTTGTGGAAATCACACAATCCCCTCTCTTGACAATATGCTTCTTTATATCACATCACTTAAAACTACATAAGCGTCTGGATTTATTCCTAAGTTATGTAAGTATAGATTTTTATTTCTAACTTTTCTTCCCTCTCTGTATTACTCTACTGGTCTCAACTCCACTGCCATTGCAGACACTCTTTTCACACAACTCTTCAGGAATTTAAAATATTCCAAAGTTCAGAGGGAAAGGCGTGTCCATGGTAAGCTCTAGTTTTCAAGCAATCTACATGACCCTGATAAACCTGCATCTTCTCCCTATATGTACTCTCTTCATTCTTCCCCACCACAGAGTACTGAAATGACACAGTGAATTGATATGACAATCAGTCAGTCTTGGCAGGGGAGGGGCAAAAGAAGATGAGGAAGCTTTGTGAGAACAAGTACATCCTGTTCATCAAGTGATAAAGAATCAAGGTGAACAGGGAGACAGCAAGGCAATGCCTTGGTATTCATTCTTGAGTCAGTGCCAAGACTGTACAGGTAGGACCTGGCACTCAAATAGATGCTTTACTTACCAATAATGGTCATTTTAGTGTAGTTGTCTAAGCTAGGTGT